CCTTTCGTGGACTACAGCCCACTTCTTCGGATGCTGCTGTAGTCCACGAAAGGTTATGCTATACTAAAATTTGTTAGTCTCTAAGGTGCCACAAGTACCTCCTGTTCTTCTTTTTGCGGATACAGACTAACACGGCTGCTACTCTGAAACAAGAGAGAGAGTTCAATTTTATGTCTTTGATTTGAGAAGCACTATTCAGGCTTACTTTCCCCCCCCCCCCCCCTTGCAACATGTTTTAGGAATCTAATACAACTGTTGTCAATCCTGCCTAATTAGCCTTTCTTATTTTAGAATTTTTTAGACAATTTTCCCAGCAATGACATCATGTCATTTGTTGCAAGATTGTTCCTGCTGTTCCAGATGATAACTGTGTACCCGTTGCTTGGCTATTTGGCACGAGTTCAGCTATTAGGACATGTCTTCGGCAATGTTTATCCAAGGTAAGGACTCTACCCTGTGTCAAGGGATTGACCTACAATGCTTCACTGGTTTCTTTTGTGCCAGATATTCTGCTAAGGTTATGGACTTTGCAGTGGGGGAGACGTATGCGTTTCAAAAACTACCCCTGCAGTTTTGCAATGACATATTTGATGGCCAAGTTTGTGAAGGCTAAAGATTGGATGAACATGAAAAAATAAGCTATGCTCTTGCCTTCAGAAGTGAGCTCTGCAGGTCAGGGCAGTGACACATTTGTTGGGGCAGGCTGAGAAATCTTGCATTTCAGCTACCTGTTCTATGGACCCCTTAGGCTGGGGGAGGGGACTTTAGATGTAACGGGCTTGTGCCCACCCACCCCAGGAACTCAATAGGTGCCCCTCCAACAGAGTGGGCACTATCTGGGGTTCTCCGTTTGGTGTTCCCCTCTGACTCCTTGCTTTTGACCCTCATTCCCATCCCTGTGTTTTCATTTGTTGTCCCCTGTATTTGCTTGAGCCCTGGGTTCAGTGGTTCCTCCCTTTAGACTGGGGGAAGTGCCTTTTAGATGTGGGCAGGTTTGCACACCACCCCACTGCCCCCTGGAACGCCGTAGGTGCCTGTTCTGTGGATAAACAGTCAAAACCAGAAGTCTGAAGCCAGAGGGGAGCAGAGATAGGAACAAAGGCAAGCACAGCTGCAAGCATGGTATGCCTTGAACAGCCACTGAACTGCTGTGGGGGCCAGGCTTATGAACAGGACTGCTAAACCAGCAGCCAGCTGGGCTGTGGCCACTCTGACAGTGCTAAGGCAGTGCAGCTGGGCTCATTAGTTGCCTAGCAGCTAGGGTTGCCAATTTTGGTTGGACGTATTCCTGGAGATTTAATCACATGACGTAATCTTTTAATGAATCTTTAATTCCTGGAGACTCCAGGCCAATCCTGGAGGGTTGGCAACCCTACTAGCAGCACAGTTAGGGAGCAGACCAGCAGCTGTTTCTTCCCTGTGTCAATCAGGAACAGAGTTTAGACAAAGGATAAGCATCCCTCTCTGGGCAGAATTTTTTCTCATGTGTTGACTCCACAACTCAAATTGTTTGAAGGGGAACTTTTTGCCAGTTTACATTCCAGCAGATTCACTTAGACAAACCAATGCTAGTCAATTAGACAATTAAACAGTTATAGCTTACTTGACCCCATAAGGAAAGAAAGAGCTCCAGGAGTCTTACATAGGAAAGTCTGCTAACTCTTCATGGGGGAAGGAAGGGAATGCCTCATTGCTCTAAGGGTACGTCTATACTACCCAGCGGATCAGCGGGTAGTGTTCGATGTATCGGGGATCGATTTATCTTGTCTTGTCTAGACAAGACAAATCGATCACCGAATCGACGCCTGTACTCCACCTCGGCAGGAGGAGTCAACGGGGGAGCCGCGGCGGTCGACTCTCCGCCGTGAGGACGGCCAGGTAAGTCGAACTAAGATACTTTGACTTCAGCTATGCTATTTGTGTAGCTGAAGTTGCGTATCTTAGTTCAAACCACCCTGCTAGTGTAGCCCAGGCCTCCGATCTAGCTCTCAGTTCACCTTTCACTAAGCATCTCACAGATGCTCCATGGAAAAACTTGATCTTTTGAAGAAAGAGTTCTCCCTGCCATGTTCCAGTTCCTGGTAAATAAGTGAAGGCTCTCCACCAGGTATTGTTCTGCTAATGTGGGGAGTGTCCATCTCGAAAACATTATTTGAAATACATTAGTTCTCTGGCAGGTACCTTCAGAATTCATTGTGCTAGCGTCTTTTTGCACATATTTGCCCCACTGCTTTTCTTCACAGGTAGTTGAAGGAGTTGAGTCAAAAGGGCAGATAATTTTCTCATGGTCTTCTCATTGCCAAGATATGTCCTGAGTTTGTAAATCACTAGCATAGGAATTGCCACACTGGGTCAGACCCAAAGTCCATCTAGTCCACTATCTTGTCTGCGACAGTGGCCAGTACCAGATGATTTAGAAGATCAAAAAATCTTGTATTAGAACTATGGAAAAATTGGACCATTGGTAGGAAGATGCTTCCTAATCACCATTATTTAATGGTTGGTTTATGCTTTAGGGCATGAGTGTTTTTATGTCCTATCTAATGTAACTATGAATGTTCTCTTTGCCTATATAAATGGCTAATCCTCTTTTAATCTTGCTAAACTCTTGGGTTTCATGATATTTTGTAGCAGTGAATTCCCCAGGTTAATTATGTGTTGTGGGTTAGATATAAAAAGGTATTTCATTCTGTGAGTTTTAAATTCGTTGCCTCTTGTATTGTGAGGATAAATAGGCTGATGCAAAGAAATCATTAAGCATCTCTGCAATGTCTTTCCTCCTTAATTGCTCCTTTTTCTGCCTGGTAGCCCAGCAGACCTGTCCATTCTCTCACAGGCTTGCTGCTTCTGCTATAGTTAACTATTGAGTGCTAAGAGTTTAACTATATTGTAGCTCTCTATAGTACTCTACAGTTAAGGCTTGTTATTTGTATTTCTTTGATTTATTTGCTCTTCAAATTCCATTTTAGCTGTCCTAATATCCATCTTACATTTTACCTGCCATGTTTTATGTTCCTTTCAACTGGCGTCACTTAGGCTGGATTTCCAATTTGGAAGAATACCTCTTTGCCTTCAATGACCTCTCGAATTTTGCCATTTAATGATACTGGAGTTTTGTTTTGTGTGGTGTTTTTTTTTTTCTTGCTTTCCTACTTCCCTTTTTGTTTAGTGATGTGCGTGCCCCTAGTGACTCAAGCATGGTGGGCTTAAGTAGCCACCATGCTGAGTGTAATGTTTTTAAATTCCTTTCTTTTCAGGCTTTTGAATCATTTTCTTCACTTTTTAAAAAAAGAATCCTCTTCTCTACAGTTTGGTTTCAGTTTTTGGCATGATTCCTCTATGGATACTAAACTTAATTATATTGTAATCACTATTGCTTAGTTGCTCAACTGTAGTTACTGCTTCCATAAAAAGAAGGTTATTTCTAGCTCAGGTTCCCCAACCTTCTTTCATAGTGTCAGACCTTCCCCCAGATCCTGGCAGTCTGAGCAACAAAATGGCAGATGAAATTCAATGTTGGTAAATGCAAAATAATGCACATTGGAACACATAATCCCAATTATACATGCAAATCAATAGGATCTAAATTAGCTGTTACCATTCAAGAAAGATCTTGGAGAACTATCCATGATGACTCTGAAGCATCCACTTAATGTGCAACAGCAGTCATGTTAGGAACCAGTAGGAATGGATAGATAACAAGACAGAAAACGTCATCATGCCACTATTTAGATTCATGGTATGCCTCCACCTTGAATATTGCATGCAGTTCTGGTCACCCCATCTCAAAAAAGATGTATTAGAATTGGAAAAAGTACAGAGCATGCAACAAAAATGATTAGGGGTTTGGACCAGCTTCCATATGAGGAGAGATTTAAAAAGACTGTGGCTGTTCAGATTAGAAAAGAGATGAGGGGAGATGTGATAGAGGTTTATAAAATCATGAATGAGATGGGGAAAGTGAATAGGGAAGTGTTCTTACCCCTTCACATAACACAAGAACCAGGGTCACCTAAAGAAATTAATAGGCAACAGGCTTAAAACAAACAAAAGGAAGTACTTTTTCACACAATGCACAGTCAACCTGTGGAACTTGTTGCCAGGGGTTGTTGTGAAGGCCAAAAGCATAAATAGGCTTAAAAAAAGAATTAGAGGAGTTCACGGAGGATAGGTCCATCAATGGCTATTAGCCAAGATGGTCAGGGATGCACCTCCATGCTCTGAGTGCCCCTAAGCCTCTGATTGTCAGAAGCTGGGACAGGATGACGGGATGGATCACTCAAAAATTGTCATGTTCTATTTGTTCTCAGAAGCATCTGAAGACAGGATACTGGGCTAGATGGATCATTGGTCTGACCCAGTATGGCCATTCCTATGTTCTTAGAGATTAACTCTCCAACATGAAACATCATTGAGACTTTATTAAGATCCCAATGCTCCTCTGTTTCCTGTTGCTGTTAGAATAAAGGGGCTAGAATTGCTGTTCTTTCAAAGTGCCACTCAATACAAGGATGCAGTTTGGGGTGGAACATAGATAGCTTTCAGCCATCTTTGCTGCATCAAAATTGTGGGACCATCTGGGGGCCTGCCTTGCTTCCAGTGTAAATTAGAACTCTCCTGAGGCTACTCTAATTTATGCTTGGCCACAACATCTTTTAAGGGGGCTGTTCTGGCAACTGAATATAGCTAGTGGGCCACACACCCATCTAATCCTCCAGGCTTCCTCTACTATTTTCTCTATGGTGGAGGCTGTGAGGGGGAGTGGTACAACCCCCGAGTCAACTATGTCCCGCCAGGGGAATTCCCCAGTAGGCTGGCTATGGGTTAAGGGACTGATACAGAATCCGATTTAAGGTCTCTGAAATCTTATAAATGTATTCTCAGTAAAATCCTAGACTTTTTCCAGAGAGGATAGCACCACCAAGACTCTGTTTTTGCAGTGATTATGGTGATTAGGGTTGTTGGGCATCCAGTTTTCGACCAGAACACCTGGTTGGAAAAAGACCCTGGTGGCTCCGGTCAGCACAGCTGACCAAGCCACTAAAAATCCGGTTGGCTGCAGCGGCCGGCTCCACATGGCTCCTGGAAGCAGCCGGCCATTTCCTCTGGCTCCTAGGTGTAGGGGTGGCTAGGGGGGCTCCACACGCTGCCCCTCCCCGTGGCGCAGGAACTGCCCTGAGCACTGGCTCCGCAGCTCCCATTGGCTGGGAACCATGGCCAATGGAAGCTGCGGGGACAGAGCCTGTGGGCGGGGGCAGTGCACACAGCCCACTGACTACCCCTCCGCCTAGGAGCCAGAAGGACATGCCAACTGCTTCCAGGAGCCGCCTGAGTTAAGCACCAACCGGAGCCCACATCCCGAACCTCCTCCTGTACCCTAACCTCCTGCCCCAGCCCTGAGTCCTGTCCCGCACCCAAACTCCCTCCCAGAGCCCACACT